ATAGATAAATATATTTTATATAGAGACAATTTCTCCCTAGAAACATGTTATAATTTGCATCTTTTCGAGATGCGGGACAAATTTTTAAGAAAAATCGCTGTTAACACTAAACCCATTTTTTGCATTTGGATTTTTTTAGTTTTTGGGGGAAAAAAATTGAAACAGTTTCCCTAGACGTGCCAAGTTTTATCATAATCTCCGAAATGCTAACCAATTAACTAACCAAAATATTGACACCCTATATTTCGAAAACGAAGCAAATTTGGAAAACATGTTTATAGAATAAATAGAATAAAAGAATATTTGACTATTTTACCCGGTCAACCTTGATACACATAAGTAACGATAAACGTAACAACTAATAATTAACTCACATTCTAAACGAATACGCAGAATTTAGCATTTTACTCCTTTCCGAACTGTTCTAAACCATTCTCATAAAAATATTTTTTCTGAAATCAACTTTCACCTTTACTACGTATACATGTGATTCAAATCGATTTGAATTGCGATTGAATCCATGAAAACCCATTATTTTTCGGCATCAAGTTTCATCATTTCAATCCAAATTCGATTCGAAAAAAAGGGATCCTATCGAGATTGCATCTAAAATTTATTCATGTAAACTGGACTTTGTCAAAAAGCTAACCAACGCAGCCTCAAAATACGTTTTGTGTGTATTTTTAATTTTATTTTTCTGCAAATGTATGATAGTGCTCATTTTGAAGCCCCTGACAGAGAAAATAAGGAATTATCATTATCATTATTTTTGGATCCATTTTATTTAAAAACAAAAAAATATATGACAGATATGACTGTCAAAATGTCGAAATCTGTAAACGCTTTAATAACAAAATCAAAACCATTCGAAATATCATTTGAAATTGTCTCAAAATTTAAATCCAAAAAAAGTTTTCCACATGTATACGCAGTATTTGTCACCATATTCCTTGTAGTATCTTTAGAACTATCGGCTAGCAAATTATATTACATTTTAAGCCATTCTACGATGTAACTTTTATATTATTGCTTATTTTCGGACAGAAATTATTATGATTTTGGTTATAAACGTTTTGAACATATTTATGAACTAGCCATTCGCATTGAACATTTTTGTTTATCATATTATTAATAATATTAGCGTACCTCAAGAAAACCTTACTTACACATCGAACAAAGATCACCCGGTTACTTGATCTTACCATACAAATCACTTCTTCAGGATCGCAAAAATGATAAAAACAAAAGCAACGGTCTTAGTGGTCTTGTTAATATAATCCAGACTTCACCTATTGACTTTCAACTTTCCTGGCCAAGAAAAAGGACTTTAACAAAGAAGTCAATCTTAATCCTTATTAAATAAATTAATTGTATATTTTCACAATAACATGCAATAAATTTGAAAAGGAGCAATGGATATTCATGTGCGTTTAAAATATAACCAGTCCATCGTTACCCATTTGATATCTGCTTTGTCTAAAGTAAATGGTACGGAAATTCTTAAAGCCCTTACTTTAAGGATTGTGCTATATGGTCTGAATATACACACACTCTCCGAATCCTCAATGTCAAAACTGCCCAGTCTTTGATTTGAAGAGGTGACCAGTCGATTATATTTAGCCGAACACCAAAAGCAATTGCCACATGGCACGGACAGTTATTTTCATGTTGGACATTGATGGAGATTCATCAGCTTCCCACAATAGCTCTCACCCCCATCAAATTAGTTAAGTAAAAGAATACGTTGGCCATCAATCAAATGAGGATGAATTTCCGTTTAATTAGACGAAATAATGTTCACGAACGCGGCGTTAAATACCGATCACCGTGTCGAAAATATTCCCGCAACCCTCCTATTGACAAAGGCTCAACACCGCTATACAGGGTGCTATGGAAATAGCATAACATAATTTAATGACTTAATCTCAATGTTGAGGAAAAAATTGCCAAAACAAAGAAAAAATAATAATACTACACACAAAGGAAAAATTACCTAAGGGCAAACTTTAGCCCCATCAAGGTGATGAAGTGCTATTATTACAGTCGTCGCTGTCTAACCACACTACAAAATGACTCACTAGAGCAACCATTTTTTTGTAGAATGTTGAGTTGGCTGAGGTTATAATCAGTGATGTCAGCTCAATAAGAGGTGGCGCCACTAGGCCTAGTTTTGGACAGTACTATTCGCACCGAGCTTGTATGTACAGTGTCATCTTAATCGCTACATTATTTTGCGTTTAAGAACACATTGTGCGAGACGCTGAGTTAGCTGAGGTCTGTAGGAATATTTTGCACAACCACTTGAGCATGAAAAAGCTGTGTGCTAGGTGGGTGCCGCCAAACGAATTTCTGCGTCGATTCATAACTATTGATGAGACTTGGGTCCATCACTACATTCCTGAAAATAAGGAACAGTCGAAACAATGGGTTGCAGAAGTCCAAAACAATTTGATCGTCAAACAAGGTTATGGCTACTATCTTTTGGGATGCGAGAGGAATTGTTTACCCAGAGCTATTGCAGCGTTTGAAGAACGAGGTGCATATAAAACGACCTCATTTGGCGAAGAAAAAAAATTGTTTCATCACGATAATGCACCGTTGATTGTTGCCATGTCCGAAATCCACGAATTGAAGTTTGAACTGATGCTGCAACCTCCGTAGTCTCCAGATTTAACCCACTGTTTCTTAACCTTAAAAAATGGTGGTAACAGAGCAACGAAGAAGTTATTAAATCTGTAAATCAGTATTTTGACGAGCTTGACGAATCTACGTTTAAAACTGGTATTACCAAATTAAAACGCCGTTATGAGAAATGTGTTGATCGAGATTATGTCCAAAAATAAAACAAATTAAAAAAAAAAACATCGTTTTTCTTGGTCAGGAGACTTTTCACCCTACCCTCGTATGTCTAAAACTAAATGGATGATATATTAAAAACAGATTGATATAGAATTAGATATTTCAAATCACGATAAGTATCTAATAAATTTCAACTTTTACCTTTAGGTAAAACAAAAACTTTCTTCCTTTTGGATATTACTAAGTCAGTCTGAATAAAATGATATTTTCGAAAAGATCTTTAATGTTGATTGGTCATTAAGAGGTATTATTTGCGACGTTCAGTGGAAATTGAAATGACCAAACATGAATGCGTACTGTAGATAGTGTCCACTTAGTTTTTTGTACCAGTTTTGAATTTTAATAAGGTTTTCAATGAATAGACTATATTAACTAGTCTTTAGATCACCTACCTAGAAAAAAGATGCATGGGTTTTTTAAATATACATTTAGTTATTGTTATTGATTAGTCTAGCTGATTATTATTAGGTATATTTATTATTGTCAAATGTGAAGTAGAATTTTCTTAATTTAACTTGCTGAGTAAATAAACCCTTATGTTGAAAGTTATTTTGGATAGAGGTATATGTAATTATGGTTATTGGTTTTAGTTTACTTTTCTTGAAATATTAAATATACAGGGTGAAACATACAGGGTGATTCGCTTTTAGTGCTCTATTAAAGGTTATCCAGTTTGGAATATTACACAAAATTCTAAGTAACCTTCGTTGCCATTTACCTGTTACGGCTGAGCTTTTGAAAAAAATTTCTTGAATTTAAAACAATAGTAAAACTTTTTCTCTTATAAAACAACACGCTAATCCTAAGTTGGAATAGACCAAACAGCCTCATAAAAATGTCATACATGTGCTATATTGTTACTTATTCCGTAATTTAAAGATATCAGCAATACTTTAAGCAGTTAGTATCAACAGACAGACACATGAAACGCAAAATAGGTTTATTAAAAAAGAAAGCAACTAAACATTTAACTAGAATTTTATTCGGAATCAATTCGACGTGATCTCTCTATCAAAACCAGAATCGGGGCAAGTTTTGTAATTATACGTTGGTTCTTTGATACTGGAAAACCTCCAAAGCTTTCCTTTGGCGTTGCAGAGATTTATAGCTCGAAATTTGCTTCCAGGAAATGATGCGCTTTGATTTTTATACTAAAAAAGCTCTCTCTTGTCTTAACTGAACCACAGATACAGGCAGATAATAAACTGGTCTTTAAAATTTGTATATTAATTCTTAATTCTTTCTAGACAAACCCACAGTAACGGGACAATACTAAAATAATATCAGTTACTGTAATTTATAAATTGGTCTGTAATTGATACCCTACTTTTGATAGAAATTGTACCCTTTTGTTCCATATCAGGCCACCATTATGTATTCCAAAATTAATGAGACAGGCAACGCGCATCACCCTATATGATTGACTTATTAATTATACATTTTATACCCTTAAAAGCGACCACAGGCCACATCTCCAAAACTACTGGACCTAGAGATTCTGAAAAAAATTGTACCACTGGAATGTATAACAAAATTCAAAGAGCCTGAATCATTCCGTATAAGTTTTTTTGATATCGTGATCGGACATAATTGTAAGAAAAAATGTTAAAACCAAAAGAACATTTTGCGTCACCTCCATCTGACACCAAAAATTGTTTTCATAGTAATTTTGTAGTACGGTTTAGTAAAACAATTAACTTTCTATGTCATATTCTGTCCCCTCCAAGTAAATTAAAATCAATTTTAAATGTAAATAAATAACCATAAAAAATAAATGCAATAACTGTGAAAAGGATGAACGTATTGAATTGAGTTTTTTTTTTTAATTTCGATTTTAATATCGGTATCATACTTTTTTTAAAAATAAAACTGAATCTTAACTTAATTTAAACTATACAGCACTAACGGCAACTAAAATCACTAACCTTTCTCTTTCAAACAAGCCTGAGGAAATTGAAAATTAGACATTCAAGAGCTTTCAGCTTCAGCCAAAACCTATGGTAATCCTTATATGCGTATACTTCAATATTAGTTTTTTCTTAGGTCCGGTATTTTTCGAAATGTGACTATCGAAATAACCTGTGTTTTCGATTATTTTTAATTTTGTTGAGCAAACGAGTCAAGAAATGTTCATTTTGCAGGCAACACGTTCATCGTAAACGTAGCCTTGGCCGATCTCCTAGTGTCAGGCCTGGTGATACCAGCTTCAGCCATAGTGATACTAGCGGGACTCCGTGACAGTCTTGGCGTTTGCCGTTTCCAGTGGTTCATCGCCGTGTGGTGCTTCCTAGTCACAGTGCTATCTATGGCGGCCGTAGCTTGGGAAAATTACTTCAGACTGTGCTACTCTATGGACGTTTATCCGAAACTGACGCGCACGTAAGTTTATAGAGCACCGACGACGTCGCTTATCGTCGAACGAAGGGTTAAACCATCCGATCACACTTTTATCAAGGGAAGGGCGCGATAAACCAATTTAAAATATCGATTCAAAGCTCGAGCTCTAGAGTGTTTAACTCTGCAGTTTAACACATTAACGCGATGTTGTCAGTTTAGTCAGTATGCGGTTTGGAATGTAATAATTTACAGGACAAGGAGTAAATGTGATTTTCGGTTACATCCGAACTATGGACAAATGATAACATTGCTGCTGGTATGATGACAGTATATTCTAAAATACGTTATTTTGTCGTCTGCCAATTTGATTTTAGATTTGATGCAAGAACTACTAAAAAAAAAAAATCTTTGCGAGTGCAAGTGATTTTGGTAAACATCGATATGGATTTATTTCAAATCTTTGATGGATTTGTATCGCTTCCATGTGATTGTTACCCAGAAGATCGTACTCTTGATTAAAAATATCATAGTTCTTTGGATCTTAGAGATTGATTTGCTACGTAGAGCTTGAACACGTATATTGATATATTTTTTTATTGTTGTTATGAATATTTTTTCATGTATTTCAAGTATCTTATGAACGGTTTTATGCACTTTTTAAATTGTAACCTCATATTTTATTCATTACTCAGTATAACAATAAAATCATAACGGTACACCGATTTATTGGTATAAATTGTCACAATTTTTTTTTTACCAAGTTTCAGTCATTACTGTTTCAATTCAAGCATAGGATATATTATTAATATCACTGGTTGGCAATGAAATCCTCCTTTAAAAAATTGTATGCTAAATATAATGATTCAAACGTTTTGAATCTATCCCCGTTGACCGATTTTTTCTATCACGTCTAGATTTTTCGATATGATTTTTTTTTATATTTCAAAATTTTGTTTTTTTTTTTCAATTTTTTCATTCGTCAACGTTACACAAAGTAAATATACATACAAAATGAGTTTCAGAGAGTTGTAAGAGAAAGGAGGGAAGTGCCGACGGTGATTTTTATGGTAGTAAATATGCGCATGCGCAGTATTCATTGTGACACTACAACAATTCAGTGAAAACTTGTCGTTTAATTGTTTACCTTTTATATCAAATATTTTGGTAAGTTTTGCATAAAGTTCATGTTCTCTACATTAGATTTAAGTATTTGATGTGTAGTTTGAGTATTTTTTTTTAAGTAGAGCCAATAAATATAAAATATAAGTTTGAAAGTTGTTTTAAAAGTAATTTTATGTGATTTTAGGTTACAAAATGCCACGGACTTGTAAAAATTCCTCAGATCGTTTTTGCTACATTTGTGGGGAATACATACTAAAACCACAGCGACATGTCATGACCGATCTGGTTAAAACAGCTTATAAGCTATATTTTGGATTTTCTATCGATGAGCGAGATAAAAATTGGTTGCCAAAAGTATGCTGCGATAGCTGCTCAAGAACGTTGAGAGTTTGGCTTGAAGAAAGTCACAAATCCATGCCGTTTTCAATGCCAATGATTTGGAGTGAGCCTCAAAATCATGAGAATGATTGTTATTTCTGCATGACATTTACACGAGGATAAAGACACTCCACCTCCAGTTCCACCAGTTAATGAGAAGGCTGAAAATAAAAATATTTCAGGTCTACAATCTCAATCGAGTTTTCTTTCTGATAGTACATCTTCATCTTCATACACTTTATCTGGATCTTCATGTCCATCTACAGAACCTCATTTACTTGAACAAGGCGACTTAAATGATCGTGTTATGTAAATGTAATGCAAATGGAGACTTTTTATTGATGCTTCAAAAATAAGCTTGAAAGCCGTTCTACTTCATAATGGTAATAAATACCCATCTGTCCCCATTGCACGTGCTACACGCATGAAAGGAAATTATGCAAACCTTGAGGTATTACTTGAGAAAATTAAATATTCTCAATACCTATGGAATACTTATGCTGATTTAAAAGTTGTCGCTATACTGACTGGACTACAAGGAGGATACACAAAATCTTGCTTTGCTACTTTTTGAGTGGGATAGCCGCGTAAGAGACAAACATTACAAAGTAAAAACCTGGCCATCAAGAAAAAGTTTGACTCTTGTACTTAAAAATGTTTCTCATAAACCGTGAGTGCCATGAGAGAAAATTTTTCTGGCACCCCTTCACATAAAGTTGGGACTCATAAAAAACTTTGTGAAAGCTATGAATAAAGATGGTGCAGGTTTTCAATACTTAAAAACAAAATTTCCTCGAATCAGTGACGCGAAATTGAAGGAAGGAATTTTTGTAGGTCCGCAGATACGTGAGCTCATGAAGGATGAGGTTTATGATTCGAAGTTGAGCAAAGCAGAAAAAAGAGCTTGGGTAGCGTTTGTGGAGGTGTGTCATAATTTCCTTGGGAACGCAAAAAGTGACAACTATCAACAAATCATTCGGGAGCTACTTTCTGCTTATAAAGCTTTAGGATGCAATATGTCACTCAAGATCCATTTTTTAGACTCGCATTGAGATTTCTTTGATGAAAATCTTGCAGCTGTATCAGATGAGCATGGTGAAAGGTTTCATCAGGATATAATGCAAATTGAAAAACGCTACAATGGAAAATGGTCAGCAGCAATGCTTGCTGATTTCTGTTGGTCAATTCCCCGTCCCCGATAAACTCCAATGTAATCTATGAAGAGGAAGACAACTACTTAATAATTTGAATTCTATCACTCCATAATGAAATAACTGACGATATTTATCAGTTTTGTTAATATAATTTAGGATTTTTTACTATAAAACTCAAGCCGCCACATTTTTTTTATTTCCTTATAATAATTAATACTTTAATTATATTGTTTTTTGATGAAATAAATATTAAATTAAAAATCTACGTGTTGTACTTATTTGTATATCAGATTCCGTGGTTAGAGCATAAAATAAGATGAATTCATGCATGAAAACAAGAAGGAGAGAAAAAAATTTTTTTTTGCAGACCATTGTATTTATTCAAAAGTCTACAAACTATTCTTTTTGTTAACAAAAGTTAATAAACAATAAAAATAATGAAATAAATATATAAATAATAATAAAAAAAATCATTATACTTTGGGTCCTGATCGTTAAGCAAAGATTGTAAGTCTTTGGACTCTTATCACCGATATTTCCAACAATCAAATTGATTTGATCTTTTGATATTTGAGGATCTCTATCTTATTAACTAAATTTCTTTTTACCACTTCTGCTGCTTTTATTCTGGGATTTTATTTTCAAATAATTTCAAAGACAAACGTTTCAAATAATAAAATATAAAATAATTGAAAACCCTTTACCCAGACCCCTTTTTCGGAAACATATGCTTTAGAATTGGAATTATTACTTTTTAGGCAAAATTAATGTATCTGGGAATTTATAGCAATTATTTGTTGTATGCACATTTTCGATAAAAATGTAAATTTGCTATATTGCTGGAAAAAATATCTGAATGAAATTGTTGTAACAAAATAAAGTAGATAATTTCGTGCAAGGATATATGTAGACGTAATATTTAATTCTAAAAATCATAAAGACAAAAACATCTTTCAAAATGGAAGCAATTGATAGAAAACATTATTTTGTTCCCGTAAAACATAGAATTTCATCTTAAAGTTTCTGTTCTTTTCAAAGTGTGATGAAATGATTACAAATGAACTTATATCAAAATATCAAGGGTATTTTGAAAAAAAAACTGTGATATTTTGTTTTACATATACCGTTTAAATCAGCAGTAGTTGAAGTTTTATTTAACTACGTTTTATATACTGTCTCCGTTCACTTCGATATTGACACCAAAACTCAATTACGAGGTATTACAAGCTCTGGTCCGACATGCCCCATGGCCTCACATAAATCAAAGCAACTGAAATAAAATCCTGTCAGCTAACAATACCACAATACCCCATCTCCCTTATAACTGAGCTAGACAACCATACCACACTATTGGTTAAAGCGCTTGACATCCTGTCTAATGAATTCCACCCAAAATAAGGAGTCTGACGGGGATCTGAACAACTCTTTAATATAAGAACATGTTATGAGGAGGGCGCTTCAGGGATGGGATAAGGGCATCTCAATAAATGGCCGAGAAATAAATAAATGTGTGCTTTGCGACTGTCACAGTACCTGAGAACGAAAGTCAACTCTTTTAACTGGAATTAAACACATCCAAGACAAAAATCATGATAGTGGATAGATAACACAATAATCACCAATAGTCGACGTGGTGGTACAATACAAGAGGGGATCAAAGGTAGATTTAATCTGATAATATTACTAACACTAGTCGTTTGTTTCTCTTTGGCCACAAATGACCGACTGGACACTTTTCTAGTAATAAGTTCACTTTTTCACTCACTCAGTCCTGACGCGTCGAAAACAAACCTTTGATTCAAATTTTCGAGATTTTGATAGCAATACATAGATACAAATCCGTTAAGGTAAGAGTCGTGACTTTACCATAAAATAATAAATGGTAAAATAATGCAGGAAATCCGCCAATTTATATCAGCGTGAGAACTAAGGCAGATAAAATTATAGCACATCATGTACATGTAAATAGCATATAAACGTGGTTTGGTTATTAGGGGAGCCGATTGGGTAAGGCTGTGAACACCATCTACGAACAGTACCCAACTAATGACGATACTGATGATAGTTGCTTTTGCCTGGTGCTCGTCTACCTTTTACCTTGCCTAATTGTGACTTTGAAAATGTTGTTTTAGTAAATTAAATATCGATTTAAAGATTAACAATGAACTTAACTTACTTTCCAAATATTTTGCACTACGTCACTGTTCTGCCGGAGCAGCGAATTATGGCAATAGTCCATCCCATTATGTATAATTTCATAACTTAATAAATATCACATTTTATTTTTTACTGCATTCCCATTAAGGAAGAGAAAATATTTGTGTGGTCTCTGAGCTTTATGTCAAAGAAAACGTTTCTGCATTTTTTAAAAACGTTGTTAAAGAACTCGAAATTTTGATTATATTTTTGTTATACAATATAATATTACTTTAGCATAGGTTCTTCAATTATATTCAAAATTATCATATCGAAATAACATAATTGTAATCTTTCAGATACTTAGGGATCATTTAAGTTATGTAAGGACAAATTAAAACGAAGTGAATATCGGATAAGACTTTTAAAATGTGTTTACAAAAATGTGACAATAACCTACTCTATATACAATCGTTAATTATATTCTGTTTCCTTGCAGAAAAATCACCGCCATTCTATTGAGTATATGGACTATTTGTGGCTGCGTATCCGGTATGCAGTTCGTTTCGGACTTCTCCTTTGATTACTGTACGAGAAAATACTTAGGACTGATTCCATATCAAGCCACAGTAGGCGTGGTTTTAGTATTCCTGCCCATATCCATCGCCTTCTTTTGTTACATTAGGGCGGGGTACCAAGTACGTAGGTGAGTGATTTGGCGTATATTAGACCTCCTACTCTTACTGAAAATGTTTTAAGTTATAACCTGTTCTATTTTAAAAAGGAAATTCGAAACCCGAACAGAATTTTGAGAGCGATAAAATTGTTTGTTGGGGGAGGGTTTATTGGCACTTGGCACTCTCCAAGAATCTCCCGTTTTTGTGGAAATGACTTGCGAAATTTTTGAAGATTACTTTGGTGGTTCCATACCGGGGGTCTCAGTAAGTGAATCGAGGTGTTAGGGAAACAGAAATTTGAAAAAAAAAGCACTAGGTGAACCGGCCAATGCTGGAAATTATTTTTGAGGTTCTTTAATGGCCACCAGAGGGTCTATCTTTCTGCAAAGTTTTCTTATATTAGTGATGCTTAGAGAGAGCACTGTTTTTAAGCTGAGACAAATTCAAATATTTTTTTAGGTGTTCTTTACTCTATCTCTAAAAGGAAAGTGGGAGGGGGGGGGGTGCTCCAATATTTTCGGAAATAATTGTCAAAATGACTTAACGGATGTTAATAAAATTGGAGTGTTTTAAAAGGGCTATCCTAGGCTATCAAACGTGCTATAAGTGAGACGGTTCGATTGAGTATCCTACCACAACTAATTTTCAGAAAAAAAATTAAATGCAACGATATCATTTTTTTAAACGTCATTAGACAGTCAAGCAACAGCCCAACAACACCGTGAAAACCGCATCCCAATATCTTTATCTCTACTCTCTACTAATGGGTCGTTATTGAAATAATAGTTCGATGTTTATCTTAGTTTATTTTCGTTTTTTACAACACTATATACATTATTCTGGGTATTCTCAGTTTGTTATATAAAAAATTAGGTTTAGTCACTCATCAATATTGTTAAGGACTAATTAAGTTTATTACTTACTGACGTTTCAAGTAGTAGGCTTTTGAAAAAGTCAAAAAGTCAAATGGCACCATTTATGTCGAATATTTAACGAAGCAGGCGTACCACAGTACGTTATCTCCCTTATAACTGAGCGATATTTTGTGATATTTTGTTTTACACATACTGTTTAAATCAGTAGCAGTTTTATTTAACTACGTTTTATATTGACACCAAAACTCAATTGCGAGGTATTGCAAGCTACATGCCCAATATGCCATGCTAACATACCCTATCGCCTCACATAAATCAAAGCAACTGAAATAAAATCCGTATACTCAGCTAACAATACCGCAATACCCCATCTCCCTTATAACTGAGCTATGCAACCATACCAGACGATTGGTTAAAGCGTTGGACATACTGTATCATGAATTCCACCCAGAACAAGGAGTCGGGGTGGAGGGGGGATGCCTAGTGCATCCACAACTCTTTAATATATACGGAGAACATGTTATGAGCAGAGGGATATGAGAAGGGAATCTCAATAAATGGCTGGAAAAGAAACATTCTGCGCTTTGCGGATGTCACGGCCCTCCTTGCGAGAAGCAAAGAGGAATTGATTGACCTCGTTCGACAGGTTCAAAACGAAAGTCGACTGTTTGGACTTGAATTAAACACATCTAAAACCAAAATCATGATACTGGATCGAGAACACAACAAGCACTCTCAAATAACCATTATTCGATATTGTGAGTTCATATTTGCATTTGGGATCATTAATCACAAACACAAGAGGAGTTCAAACGCAGACATGATCTGACAAAGGTGGCTGTGGGAAAGATGACCAGAATATGAAAATACCACCAAATCTCAACAACTTTAAAAATAGGATTAGTCAGCTGTATAATATTTCCAATACTGACATTCGGGTGTGAATCATAGACATTGCGACAATCAGAAAAAAGAAATATTGAGGCCACCGAAATGTTCTACTGGAGAAAAAGGCTATGAATTCCATGGACGGATCACAATGTTTGCACGAAACAGGACGAGTTCATCCTTATCCAGTGCCTAGAAGAAATCGATGCATTTGGAACGAAGAAACTGTCATTAATGTTCTTGTCTAGGTCCGCATTAGTCTTCAGTTAGGCTTAAGAAGAATAAGTTTGGACTTGGATATTAGCAAACCATCGGTAGGTCGAATTTTAAAAGAGCACTTATCATATCGAGTTACATCAGGATCTTTAAGAAACTAATTTAATAGGAATTTAGACTACTGTAATTGGCTAAATTCTATGGTAGATGAGGATCCCAATTCAATTCAAGTCAATTTGCATAATATGCATATCGCTGGACATCTGTTATGATATTTTGGGTGATTGAATTATAGGACCATTTTTCCTTGATGGTGAAGTTGCCTATTATATTAGAAAACTTTCCTTTAACTGCAACACGATAGATGTCCAGCACATTTTTCTGACGCAGTTAGGCATTGTTTAGACCAGACTTATCCAAACCGTTGAACACGAAGAAGAAGCTTGTTTCCATGAGCTGCCAGATTACCTGGACTTGTAAGTTTGGGGTAAAATAAAAGCTTCGTCAGTGTGTACCAGTAATCTTCTTGTAAACTTGATTTTTATAAAGCCTGAAAAATATTGGAACTTCCTATTCACGTTTGCTCAAATGAAACGATATGTCGACCAAACCATTATAGAAGTGACCCTAGAAATAGAAAAATGATTTTGATACCATGAGTTTTGATCGAATATACCATTCCTCCCTTAAATAGTAATATCAAGGGAAGAGAGTTCTTAGATGAGGACCATTTATTAATCTGTAATAAATTGTATATTATGATAAATTCCAGCGTCCTCCATAATGGGTTGAAAATTTTTCACGTTTTTTATGGACGACATAAATTTTTGGCGAAAAATGTTCGCGGGTCTATTTTGGACAGGTGTAGAAATATGCATGTGTCCAAATTTATACAAAAACCATACAGCCTCTACGTAGACATGATAAGGATTTTTTTTCTGGGCTAATTAATTTACTTTGTTTAACATTTAACAAATATGGTCATTTGTTAACATTAAATCATAAAAAGGAATACATACATAGATCATGAAAAAGAATATACCGCGTATTCAATTTAAAAAAAAAAACTAAACGTCAAAATTTGACGTTTAGTATATTTTTTAATATTTTTGATCAACAACAAATTTTGTTTAATTTAAGTTTTTAAGATGGTCGGATAGGCATTTTTTTTAACACCGCGGCTGCGAAGCGGAAGTTATTTTACCATTTTGAACTTTCGTGGAAAACGATTGACTTGACGTTAGGTGGGTAAACGAAAACGCAAACACTTCAAATGGAAACGCATTTGTGGTTTCACCGGATTTAACTCGTGATTCGCTGGAATTTGCCGTTCCCCTCAGTTCCCAGATTTATTTACTATAATCTTCTTCCGCTAAATTGAGACGCCTTATTTTTTTATCTTATGTTTGTCAGAACAATCAGTAGCTGAATTTGGTGCTGACAATTTTGAATTAAATATTTTTTATTTTATAATGTGTGAGATTAAATAACCTAAAACGGCAATAACTGTCACTGTAGTATTGTGAAAGCGCAAGTTTTGATATAGTCTATTATGCAAGTTTGAGAAACGCCATTTTAGTAGCGAGATTTATGTGAAGTTTATGTTGAATACCATACTTTTTCGAAGAAAACTAAAAAAAGTGCACAAGTATACATAATACGCCAATACCTTACAGTGACACTGCATAATTAGGTATTTTAGAGTAGTGAAAAGACAATAGTATATTATGCAACTAGTGTGGTAAACTGTAAAGTTTACCATACCCGCGAGATAATATCCGGAAAATGTTCGAAATGGCTCGAATTCGTGGGAAACGAAACTGACGTGGTAAAATGACATTTTCCGGTGCATAATTTGGTATTTTACAGAAGGGAGTAGAAAAAATTCAGTGGCACCCATTTTAGTCAATTTTTGAGATCTCGATGGAAGTGGGATTAGTGCAAATGAGCCTACTACGTGCTTTGTGCTTTACAAGAAAAAAGGTAAGCGGAAGATCAACAATATAAGCAAACCGGAGACCGATCACTTGTTTTTGCTAATGCTAATGCTAATTATATTTTGATAAATTGTACGCAAACGCTTTTACTCTCTACACCCAATATCTATTACTTTAGCGTATAAACGAATAACAAAACGATACGGGAGTATGCAACGATTTATACGTTTGTGTACACTGGACTAGTTTGTTGGACGTACATTTATATTTTTTTTGTTTGATAGCCTTATTCATTCAATATCAATTTCAATGTTCTCTTTTATCTCCAATTTGGCGTGCTTAGTCATGTTCATCCAGTTGTTTACATAACAACAAAAACCTTTAATTTGATTACTTCAGTATTTTCAATATTTCTTTTTGAATGGTTCTATCGTTAAAAAGGAATAACATACTTGCAGCAATAACAATGGTGGTGTTTTTCAACAGTTCTAATATATGATATTCCATAGGTTAATATTAACAATAAATATAAGTTTTCCCCAAATTAAATGTTGAATTAATAAAAAAATTATAAAAAAAAAGTTAAATTAGAAAATTAATTAATTAACATTAATATCAATTATTTAAAAGTTTCTTCTATACTCTTTTTTTCTCATATCGAATTTTTAAAAACGCCTAATTGGCGAATAAATAACATGATTATAAATTCAAGCTTTGGATTGCTGAAATAGAGGTTAAAGTCATCTGGAGAGGCACTTAGTACTACTTTAGTGTTCTTTAAAATATGTACAATTTTTTTATGAAACTTCCACGGGCTACAGTCATACTTTTTATTAAACTTCTGGATTCCTCCTGCGTCGGTTTTGGTTGACTCGAACTAGCTAACGTTTCGCCAATCATCCTGTTGGCTTCTTCAGAGCTTGACTGAAACTGTCTGAAACGTCTGCAAGTTCGACTTAGCAAAAACCGACGCAGGAGGAATCCAGATGTTTTATAAGAAGTAATTTTTTGTTAAATGGCATGAACAATGAAAACAAATTATAAAGTTCCAGTTTATGCACTGAGGCTCGCATTTCCTTATAACTATTTTTCATAGTACGTTCTTTTAGAGTT